TTTCTATTTCATCTTTAAGATCGGCACAATCATTGGTGTGGTGGCCGACGTCGCCGTGGAACCTACAATATTTCTTCTGGTTCCTTCGGCTTGGATATGACCTCATTGGCTCTGGGCGGCGCAGTAAGTTCCCGCGACGTACCTGATTAAACACTTCCTCGACTCATACTGTTAATTCATGGTAGGAATCGTACCTTTGAAATGGTCGAGGCTTGCGGTTCTCCTCTTGCCTCAGTTTCTTAGCTTCTGGAGTGTTCGGCGCCGAAGCAGACTGCTTGTCCCCGCTTCCTCTGCCTCGTCGTTTCTTTCCGTCCTGCTTCCCTGCCGTCGACCTTTGCTCAGTCCCTTTGTTTTTGTTGGACATGTGCTCGGGGTCATTTGCATTTGCTTCCTCGACATTGATGTACCCTTACGCTCGTGCAAGGAATTCTTTGTAACTGGACAGGGGCTTCCAGTTCAGCTCTCTTTTGAAGGGGGTAATTTCCTTCATGCTAGATAATGCCCCCATCAAGGCCTCCCTGTTGGTTATGTCTATTGTTGCAGTGACAGCTTCCCCATATCTTGCGAGCCACTCTTTTAATGACTCGTTTGGCTTCTGGTATACTGTTGTCAAATTTTGCTTTGGAAGGACATATTTTTTCACTCCCATAAACTGGAGGGAAAATGCTTCTTTCAACTCGTCCCAGCTTGAGATGGAGTTTGGTTTTAGCGTTTGAAACTATCTCCGGGCAGAGTCTGTTAGATGGTTTCAGAAGGCTCGGCACATGATCTCCTCGGCATATCCATGCAAGAGCATATGCCCCGTGTACATTTCTAGGTGATCATCAGGATCCCCTCTACCGTCATATAGTGGGATCGAGGGTGACCTGTATTTATCGGGTAGAGGTGGCACCATAATTTCCTCGGTAAACGGGTGGTCGTGCGTCTGGCTAGGTGTGATGTCGACGCTCACCACCTCGGCCACTCGCCTTATATTTTTCTTTAGGCCAGCGACATCGCCCGCGAGCTTTTGCTTTAAGCTGGCCATGTGCTCCATAATGGCTAGTGCCTCCTCCATAGAGATTGCTAAACCAGCTCCTCTTGACGCCTCTGCCCTTGTGCGTTGGGTCCGCCTCCTGCCCGTCCGCCCACTTACACCGACCCCGCATCTCCTAGAAGGTTTCTGCTTGGGTTCTGAGGTGGCGCTTCGGGGTTTCCCAGGCCTCCGGCTATTTGGTTCTCAGGAGCCCGGAGTCCGGCGGCCCTTAGACGACTGCCGGTGGATTGAGAGGGTCGAGGCCTGGGATCACCTCTAAGATTTTCACTGTCCCCGATTCCTTCTGGGATATCTTGGTGGTCACCGGGGTTATGGTTTTCAGCCACGGCAGCTTCTAGCAGTCTTGGAGCGTCTTCCAGAGGCGGCATCGAGTTTTTTCCATCCAAGCGCTCAACTACGGTCATCAGTCCTCGCACCAGGTCGGTCAGGGTAGTGAGCTGGGCCTGCATCTGCACAGGGTCTGGTTGCGGTATGTCTGGGGGTGGGGCCCCATTTCTAACCGTAGGTAGGTCTCCTTCCATCCCATCATTTGCCAGATGTGCGGCAGTTTCTTTCATCAGGCCGCCTTGGTTAATGGCCTCAATTCTTCTTTTTGGAGGCATGTCAACAAACGTATGAGCCAGAGATTCTGGGTTCGGTCCCCAGCGGAGTCGCCAATTGTTGATGGCTGAATTCCGTCAACAGAAATACGCCGGGTTACCCATTGGTATCCCGTTGGGTTACTGGCTAGAAATTAACGGTATATTTGAAATTATGCTATAAAGTGTTTGTTATTTTTTGTAAGCATGAGTATAGTGCTTGAATGAGAGGACACACGAGATTTATAGTAGTTCACTCTGTTAATGAAGAGTTACATCCACTTGTGTATGATATATTTCTTTTCGACTTTTTACAATGCACGTATATTCTCTCTATCATTCAATACTCGAGAAGTCCCCTTCCTTCGTGTTGGGGCTTTGCCCTTTTTATAGCTCAAGCTTCCTTCGTGGGTGGTTTTCCCTCATAGGTAGAAGTACTCGAGTGGCCTATCTTTCTAGGCTCAGACCATAGCCCACTAATCACCTTTTAAACTGTTCACTCAGCCAATTGGTCTTCTATTACGGCTCTGTGGATTCCTGTAATCCTTCACTGCCCACTGTAGGGTAGTTTAGGGGTTTGCAATTAATGCCCGTATTGCAGACGTCTCCCACCCCTAGACACAACTTGTGATGTCAGGCTCCTTTTTGAAGTATTCCCCTCGCCGTCTGTGCCGCGTAGACCTCGTGTCTTTTTTGACAGTCGACCCTTTCCAGAGGAAGTTTGTTGCATAAGTTCGACGGCACAACTGGTCGACGCCCTAATTTGGGCCTTTCTTTGCGGCGTCGAGGGGAAGCGAGCTTCAAGCGTCGAGGGTTGTCACCTTTTGAAGGAAAATAGGGCCACATGTCACGTTGTCACCGTTCCATATGTCACCCACATTTTCCCACACAACAAGCATAGTATTTGAAGTAGTGCGAGGCAAATAGAGATAATGATATGAACATAAAATAAGAGATAACAAAACCAACAAAACAAATAAATGAAGGAGTTGAAACTAAAAAATGCAAGAAAAAAGGTAACATGCTTCAAACTCGACGTTTTGGACTACCATAAGATAAACATTCACTCTTGGATTGGGATTTCAAATTTCGAATTAGGATTTAATGGTCCTATATCGCATTCCCATAACGACAAAAATAGACCCAACCACATTTACTTACAACCCTTTCTAACCTAAATAATAAATAAAAAATGAAAAATACAAAAAAAAATCTGGCATCTACTACACAACTCCGTTACGCCTGAATTTGCCACACAGGTTCGTCCTAGTCGTGCCGGAACATGCCCCTAAGCTTGTAGCCCCATTGTGATAAAATCACGAATCGTGACTTTCGTCGTCATCAAGATGAGATCGCAACCATTGTCGTGATGGGTCGTGACGAGCTCGCGACCTCGTCGCTTTCACGGCCTCTATAGTGATAGGTTGCGACAAGATCGCAACCTCCATCATTGTCGCAACCCATCGCGATGGATCATGATAAGATCGTGACCTTGTCACCGTCATGATAAGTCGCGATGGGTTATCTCCAACCGAATTCCTTAAGTACCCACCATTGCGATCTGGTGTCACCAAAGGCAACCCCGACTACCCTCTCGGTGATCTAGTCATTTTCAGATCCAACAGGTCACCAGAGGCATATTCAATTAATCTACAACTTTTTTATTTTAAATGATCTAGTGTGGATGACTTATTCATCTAATGACGAGCTTACTTAATTTTGGACTAACAAATTCGTTATCGACATTGAAAAAGAGAGATTTGGTACCGTATCATTTCCCAAAAATAAAAGCCCTTAAGGCGGTAGTTATACTATTGAAGGGCTAAGTTGCTGATTTTTATAAGAAAAAAATAAATAATAAAATAATAATAAAAGATTTCAAGAAAAGTCTGACAAGAAGATAGTGGCATCTCTTAAATCTGTTAGAGCATCCCTAAAGAAGTTTTTTTAAATTTTAACTAAATTCTAGCTAAAATTGTTAAAAAATTATTTTATCCAATAATTTTTTAGTGAGTTACTTCAACTATACTCTCTATTTGAGTTAAACATAAATTATTTTAATATTTTTTTAAGTTTAAAATATAAATAACTTTTTTTTAACTTTTACTTTTATGTCAAAACAAAAAATAAAAGAATAAAAAGAATAGTGTTGTTTGGTGTAAGGGTTCTGAACCCAAAACTATGATTCTGGTTTAGAATCAGTGTTTGTTTACAAAGAGTAAAAAGTGGTTCTGATTTGACTCATCCAGAATCAATGTTTGGTTAGGATAGTTCTGATTCAAGGTTTGAACTCTGATGTGATGTTTTAAACCATGAATCACCACTGATTTTAAAACCACCCCTTAGTTTTGGGTGGTTCAAACCCCTCATTCTGGTTATGGTTCAGAACTATGAGTTGAACTCAAAATCATGAATAATGGTTCTGGTTCTAAAATTAAAACTAGAATCACCCTGATTTGAACCCTCCAAACGAACCCGCCACTTCTTACTAGTTATATAGCTAGTGGAAAATGCTTTAGTAAAAATACCTAACTGTTTAGCTAATGGTTAGAGTGGAGCAAAGCTAAAAGAAAGTTAAATCATTAACGTGCTAACGTTTGGTTCATGGATTAGAATCATTTTCGATTTATGTGTATTTTTTGTGAGAGAAAATACTGTAGCGAGCCACGAACCTGATTCGAATCAAGGGCTGAATCCTCATTCCAAACGTCCCCGAAATGACTAATATGGTTGGAGTTGCTCTTATATGCGAATGATGATAGATTTCTTTTTTCGTTTTATATTTTTTTATTTTATGTCCTAATTAATCCTAATAATAATTATATAAAAAATGGCATATAAGTCTATTGTTTTAATTTTGGTCGTAAAAAACGCACCGTTGTTTTTTTTTTTTTTTGGCTTTGCTTTGCTTTACTTCTTTTTTTCTTTTCTTTTCTTTTCCATACTCCTTTTTGTGCTTCCTTTTTCCCCTTTTAACTCTTTTATTTCTAATTTTGTATTTCGTACCCTGTTAAATCTCAAATTCTATTATAAAGTTGTGTTTAGTATGAGAGTTTAAATTAAGATAATTTTAAAATATGTTTAGTACGAGGAGGATTCAAATTAAGATAATTTTAGTTTTAAAACTAAAATTACGATTTATGATTTGACTTTATAATCCAAACTATAATTTTAAAATTGAAATAAGAACTTAAAATTTAAACCATCTAAAATGAAGAGACGAGATGATTTTAGAAAATTTTAATTCTAATTTAAATCTTGATTCTGGTTTAATATTTTAAACTTATTTTAAATCAGAACAGAACAGGAAAATATATATATATATATATATATATCATTACAAAAATATGGGGCGGTGCTGTAGACTGTAGTCATGCCCTTTGCTTTCCTATTTTATATTTTATTTTTCCAAAAACGACTTGAGGCTTAAAAGGACTAATTTTCACGCTCTTTTCCCTCCTCATCTTCCCAAAATCTCAAAATTGGCGCAATCGCGTGAACCCTAGAAACCGCCATCTTCATCCTCGAGGGAAAACCTAAAAGCTTAAGCGCAACGCAATGGCCTCCGGCGCTGCAACCAGTGTCGTTCCGGCGAACCGTGCCAGAAGGGGCGGTGGCTCGGCGTTGGACGACAAGCTCGACTTCGTCACGACGGAGGGAATAGAGCCGATTCTGAGCTTCGACCAGATGGGAATAAAGGACGATCTACTCCGAGGAATCTACGGCTATGGCTTCGAGAAGCCCTCCGCCATCCAGCAGAGAGCCGTCAGGCCGATCATCGAGGGCCGCGACGTCATTGCCCAGGCCCAGTCCGGTACCGGAAAGACCTCCATGATTGCTCTTACCGTCTGTCAGCTTGTCGATACTTCCACCAGAGAGTACGTTTCGCTTTTCCGCACATGGATTTTGACATACAGAACATTGATTCTCAGAAACCCTAATTTTTCTTTTTCCATGACTATAGTACTCAAGATTTTTGTAATACATTCATTCGTGGTGATATTTTCTTCGTTAGGATTTTTGGAGCACACAATCTGTTCATTGTCTGGGGCTTGTTTTGTTATGTTTTCGGTGAGAGAATTTGATTTGGAGAAGTGAAATATTGTTGATGCGTCGGATAAAGATTAACTAGGCTTTGCAATAGCTATAGTCTTACGAAACCCTAGGTTAATTTGTAGTATTTTTGGATTATTGTTTTGTTTTGTTCATAAGTTTTCAGGACCATACAAGATTTTTGACGTCTTATTTATTTATTTAGTTTGTTTGTTCCATGGAAAAATGTTTTGGGTGTTTAGGAGATACGGGTATTTGTTTATGGAGGAAACTTAATTAGAGCTTAAAATACGAGAATGAAAGGATGCAACATTTTGAAATTGTTTCCTTTTAGGGTGTGAATGTTCAAGTTGGGAGATTTTGGATGGGAAAATTGTTTGTTCTGCCCTATGTTTTCTTCGTATAAGGTTGTAATTAGTCTCAAGGCAAAATTGGCCTTTTATCAGTGCTTAAGATATGCAACTGTAAAAAGTACGGATTTGGGTGTTTCTTAGGGCTTGCAATCTTGCCAATCGCAAGGGGTTGGCTCAGTGGTGAATCACTCCGACTTAGTGCCTTAGGAAGCATTAGGTCTAAGGTTTGGTTCCCATTGGGTCACACTTGCAGGCCAAATGCCCAAGTTTTACCCGATATGGAGGGGGGCGCTTTGCATGGATCCTGTGGATTAGTTGGGGCAAAGTTTCAGATACTGGTTATAAAAAAAATAACAAAATCAGCATTTACTTATTTATTTTTTAATTTTGGATTTCAGGGTTCAAGCATTGATCTTGTCACCGACAAGGGAATTGGCGACTCAGACTGAGAAAGTAATACTTGCAATTGGCAGTTACATAAATATACAAGCTCACTCATGCATTGGAGGGAAAAGTGTTGGTGAGGATATAAGGCAACTAGAATATGGAGTTCATGTGGTGTCTGGAACTCCTGGAAGAGTATGTGACATGATCAAGAGGAGAACACTACGTACCAGAGCCATTAAATTACTTATTCTTGTGAGTTTTCTCTTGCAGTTTCGGTTTTTTCCTGTGTCGCTTCCGAGTTCTTAATAGTTTCTTCCACCCTGTATTCTTGATATATGCGATCTTTGATGTTTATCACCAGGATGAATCTGATGAAATGTTGAGCAGAGGATTCAAGGATCAGATTTACGATGTGTACCGATATCTTCCACCAGAGCTTCAGGTTTTATTTCTGTCTGCATATATTTTACATATGTAAATGTACTTATGGTTTATGTTTTAAGCATCTGCTTAAAGTTTCTATTTGCGCTTGTTGTTCTATTGATTTGTTAGTTCCCATTTAAGTGTTCATTTTGCAATTTTATTTTAATTTAAGATCTCTCTTTATTTCCAATGGAGTAAACATAGAACTCCTTTTTCAGTGTTATGCATGGTTGAAACTTTTCATTTACTGCTACTTATTTGTAACAAGCTGAAATTCTGAAGTTTAAAAAATACTCCATGTTTTGATTTTGTAGATCTTTGCTGGTCTGTTTGTTCAAGATCCCCCCTTAATTGTGTTTTAACGGATTGTTCCCAAGTTTGCATTTTCCTACTTGTTTTGATAGTCAAAGAAGGTTGAATCTTAAGTTTGATTTTGCTTTTCACATTGAGGATGTAATAATCTTTATTGTTTTATTGTTAGAAAGTCTTGCATTTGATATCTTTCTTCCTTTGGTCTCAACATATTCTGTGTATTTGAACATACACTAAATAACTTTTTTTCTTGTCATTCTTATCTCTGAAACTCAAGACTTGTGTAAACTAGTATTGCGCATCTAATGACAAGTTGACAACTTGTGATTTATGATTGTAGGTTGTCTTGATTTCTGCCACCCTTCCACATGAAATCCTTGAGATAACAAATAAATTTATGACTGATCCTGTGAGGATTCTCGTTAAACGTGATGAATTGACATTGGAGGCAAGTGTTTCTCTGTTTTATCTGATTCTGGGTGAGTGTTTTCTGATTTGTAATTTGTGTTTAACTTTGTTTTCTTTGATTACAGGGAATCAAGCAATTTTTTGTTGCAGTTGAAAGAGAGGAGTGGAAATTTGATACTCTATGTGATCTTTATGATACACTTACAATTACGCAAGCTGTTATCTTCTGTAATACAAAACGAAAGGTACATTTACTATTAGGTTCCAAAAATCTCATTCTTTTTTCCTCCTCTTTGACGAGAAACTAGGAAGGTTCCATACCTCTTATTGGGTTTATTTAACAAAGCTCATGTGTTATTGGACCTTATACTTTTCCAATAAATGGACTTTTTGTATGAATGATTTATGTCACTAGGATGAAATATGTTTTGCAGCTATTGGTAGTAATGATGTCCTTTATGCAAGTGTGTTATGCAGGATGGTTTGATTCTCTACAGAAACCATTATCTTCCTTTTAATTCCCCTGAGGCTACCAGTTTAGACCTTTTTGTATAAAGCACTAAGAGGCATAAGGAGGATATCAGTCTTGCCACTGGTTTTTAGATTTAGATTATTTCGTGTTAGTTACATTATCTGTTTTCTTGATCTATGGATATTGATCTTTTTTCCCACTTCAATTGGATAGGTGGATTGGCTCACGGAAAAGATGCGTAGCAATAATTTTACTGTATCAGCGATGCATGGAGACATGCCTCAAAAAGAAAGAGATGCAATTATGGGAGAGTTTCGGGATGGTACGACCCGTGTCTTGATCACAACAGATGTTTGGGCCCGGGGCCTTGATGTCCAACAGGCAAGTTATCTCACTGCTATGTTTTTTGGAGGTATTTTGCAAGTTTCTAATGCCACACCATCTACAAGAAGATTAAATTTTTTTCAATTTCTTTTTATATTCAATTGGTCTAGTAAATGTTTTTCAGAATGTTGTTGGTAGACGATTCTAATTCTGGATCCTATTTGATTGTGAAAAATAAGATGGCATGAAAAGTGTCATTTTCATTCCATGCAAAATATTTTCTTAGTTATAGGATGTTCCACACTTTTTTGACAAGTATTTGGTGCTTGTGAGGGTCCAGTTGTCTAACTCAGTTACAAAGTGGGCTGGATTCCTAAAGAGGATTTATACAATTGTAAATAAAGTAAATCTATATTGTGTGATTGTTTGAAATGCTCATTAGAATTTTCTTTTCACTGGAAATGTAATCGAGTTTGTTATTTCTGGCAAAGGAAAAAAAAAAAAATAAAGTAAGAGAATCTACAAGTTTGCTATTTCTGCTGCTGGTTACTATGAAATGGTTATGTCGTGCAATGAGTTTTTTGTCCATTTCTGTTACACGTATCAATTTTTGTGTCATTTAAAAAGTCAGAACAATATAGGTAATGGTATTCTACTGGTTTATGACATACACTGTTTTTTTAGCTCGATCAAACTACTTCTATCTCTACTGCTAATATGTTATTATCACAGTTAATCACTTGCTTTGGTTATTATCAATTTTCTCCAGAGCATGCATATCTAGGAAGATGCAAAATTATGGCTATGTAAATTTCCATTTTGCAGCCAAGGTTCTTCTGAGTTCTGACCATGTTATTCCTTTTTTTCCCCCCTTTTCATTCAGGTTTCCTTAGTTATCAATTATGACCTTCCAAACAATCGAGAGCTCTACATTCACCGTATTGGCCGTTCTGGTCGTTTTGGGCGCAAGGTATTTGTCCACAACTTCCTATATGTCTAGGCATTTATTTTCATCGAAGACAAAATATCAGAGTATCCTTTTAGTTTTTAGTTTTTCTAGAATGGGAGGGTAACCTGGTTTTGTGCTAAGGAACTAAAATTTACCAACTTTAAGCTGAAAAACTTGAACAAGTGCACTTATAATCAGGCTAGGAGAAAACGTTTCAACATTTGACAGCTTAAGGCATGCAACATTTAAGGTGCTGTGCATATTTCATTCTTGTGGCTTAGAAAGTGTGAGCTTATTGGGGAGCTTTTATTTATTTATTTATTTATTTTGAATGTGTTGGTTTGTTTTTGACTTTGAAAATTTAATTTTGAAGTACTTCCAGCAAATATAGACGGTACTCCTGGATATATTATTTGTTGGGTTTTTGGAATATTAACGCTCCAGGTTCTAGCATATCTAAAGACTTTAATAGCTTTGCTAAGTAAAATCCGAAGATTTAGTAAAGAGTGTCATACTAATGATTCTAGCGAGCCCATAGAAAGTTATATTTTCTGATTTATTTTGTTTCTGTTTTGAGCTTTCACAAACAATTTTCCCTAATTTGTTCATATTAACTTCCTTTTTCCCGAACTACTTGTATACTGCGTCAAATTTCTTTAGCTTGAAGTGTTACACTGGTAAAAATGGTTTTAGTAGAGACCAGTACTTTGCTTGTTGCACCAAATTTATTTTGCCAAGTTCATGTTACAAAGTAGTACGGCATATGCTTTTTTTTTGGGGGTCTTCAGAATCAAGTGTCTGCTATTTAGGATTTACTTTCTTCAATACGCTGTAGTCCCTTTTTTTTTTCCTTGATATGCCAAATTTACGTTACATAGTACAGCATATATGCTTTAATTGATTTCGTCTGCTTGCTTCAATTTGCTTTTTAAGTGTTTGATTCCAACTTGTCAGTTCTCACAATAATGGGGTTTACTTGTTTTTAGGGTGTTGCAATAAACTTCGTTAAGAGTGATGATATCAAGATTTTGAGAGACATTGAACAGTATTATAGTACCCAGATCGATGAAATGCCCATGAATGTTGCCGATCTGATATAAGACGTGCTGCCATTATGTGTGCGTGTGCAAGTGAAGTGCGACGGCTTTCTGCGAAAAGGCAATCTTGTGCAGCTACTATGGTTTCTTTTTCTTTTTAATTAATTTTTGCGATGAATTTGTACACTAGCAGGAGTTCAACTAGAGTTTCTTGGCTATGCTGACAAACTAAAAAAGTAGAATTGTTTTTGTTGATAAGATTTCTTTCTTGATGGATGGTTTTATTGTATTTAATTTAACGTTGAAGTCAAAGTTTTTAAGGCAGTTGTGCCAAAACATTTTGTACCTTATCTAATTCGACATTTGCTCAACTGTCGTTTGACTCGTTGATCACATATTTGGCAGTCGACTGTGCATCATGGTGTCTTTCTTCTTTTCTTTTTTTTTTTCCCCTCTCTCTCTTTGGAGTTTGTTTTAGCTGTCAGATGTATATGTTTTGATTTGATGTTATTTTAACCATATTTAATGTCGGAGAAAGTCATTTTTCAATTAGGCAATTCTCTAGTCCGGGTAAAAAAACAATGATCAACTAGTAACTATAGGGCTTTGGGTTTTGGAGATTGACTCCTCAAAAGACACAGGACCCCTTAGGGGGAAATCTCAACACCATGCCTATAATGTTATTGTCGTCGTTGTTGTCGTTTTTTTTTTTTTTTAATATTTATTCTCTTTTTTTTATTTATTTAATTCTTACGCATTTATTATGATTCATATAAGAATCATTCTAATGGAACCCAATTCAACTTCAAGTTTTACCCAATTCAAATATCAAATCAAAAGATCGAATGGATTTTTTGATTTATGTGCTTCTACAACACACCTCAGCTTCACCCAAACCTAATAACGCACGCCTTGTTCACTAATATGTTGAGCGAGATACTTGATCGTGTTAACAATCCAAGCGTTATTATTTATTTAGTTTCGTAAAAAATTTGGTAAGGAAACAAAGTATGAAAAATATAACAACATATTCCTTCAACAAACGACAGTCATTACTAAGAAGTTCAAGGAAAAATTAATTGTCCCCAAGATGACGACATGTTGATGTCAATGAAAAAGAAGTGGACAAAAATCTAAAACAAGGCCTAAAGAGACATGAAATATACTTCGAGAGAAAATTTGAACCAGTAATTCTGATAAAATCCTTTATAAATTTATCATTCTGGGAGCCATTTCACACTCCACATTGAAAAGAGAATCAAAATGGGGAAAAATCAAGGTCTACAATGTTGTATTGACCGTGTCTATGCTTTACAAAATTTTGTTGATGAATGTTCCTAATTTTGGTCAATTTGGTGAGGCATTTAAGCTTGAAACAAGATCAACAAATGCATCTTCTCTGCAGGGAATTGTTAGACCCCCCGTTGGATGATCAAATCCATATTCTTCTTCGGCTTGAATAAGCAAGTCTTGAAATGATGGTTGGTTCAACAATGACAAAGGAACAACATACCGCTTCTTTTCATGCTCTCCGACATAAACTGCGAAATGGCCTTTGGGGACATCTACTGCCATTGAAGCTGCTTTGTTTGAATTGGAGAAGGATCGTTGAAGAAATTTCTTTGCCGGAACCACTCGTGGCAAACGGAAACCCATTGTTGTATAGGGAAATGAAGAGAAGATCTCAAAGGATGTTGAGAAAAGGAAAGCTTTGCTTGTGTAGTGAATGGTTAGCCTCTAAGTGAAGGCTTATTTATAAATAAAAACATTAAAGAAGGATATCCTCTGTTGCTTTGAATGAATGGTGGAGCAAGGCTCTCTGCTGGGTTGAGTAATAGATAATGACGCATGAGAGATCACATGGGTTTGTCTTTCAACTCTTTATTATCATTCGGACTAATAGGGGAAACACTTTGTCCCACCTCTTCCATTGTAAACTTCAAATTTAGCTTGAAGTTGTTGTTTCTTGTGACCCAAGCATGTTTATATGCTAGCTACCAACTTTGCAGGACTCTGTATTATGAAATTAATTGTCTAATTGCATTTGGGAGTCTACTAAAAATTGTTAGCTCATTAGATA